GGAGCGCGGGCGCTGCAGCTGCACAGCTGCTCCTTCCCGATGCTTTGGGAAAGCCCATGGAGAGCCTGGAGCTGCAGCCTGGAGACACCAAACACCAAACCCCAGCACCATCCCTTTGGTGGGGCACCAGCTCCAGCTGCACTGGGGGCTACCACACAGTACCAGAATCCCACTCTGCTTTGAGGTGGAAAGGACCTTAACACTCATCCCATCCACAGCCCAGATTGCTCCAGGCCCCACTTGGCCTTGAACACCACCTGGACAGGGAATTTGGATTTGCAAGAGACCTTGAAATGGCTGCAATCTGGGAAGAGTAAAAGCACACATTAAAGTACTCACTTATACATGGGTTACACAGTGCTGGTATCATGATAGTGCTACCAAAGTTTGTTTTAGCTGTAATGTTTAAAAACACACTTTAATTACACCGGTGTTAATACCAGAATAATTTGAATCAGACTGAGAATAAAAGTATTATTCAAAGAACTGTGGAGGAAGGGGAGGATGGAGAAAGGGGGAGGAGGAAGATGCCTGCTGAAACAGGCCTTTTTCTGGCAGAAGTGGAAAGGGAGGAAGGAAGCACCTTGCAGAGGGGAGGCTGAAAACTGCTATTTTTGATTGATTTGAATCCTTGGTTGCTGATGTGTCCGTGAGGTCTCTGCCTGCCTGCACATGCTGGCTCTCTTGCAGGGTCAGGGCTGTTTGTGTAGCAGATTGATTTGTTGAACAGTGGCCATGGAGTTCCAAAGGAGTTGTCAGCACACATATATCAATTATTCTCCAGAATGTTCCCTGATGTGCAGTGATGGATTTGGAGATCACTGGAACATGATTCCCTCGCCCTGTCGGCTTTTGGAAGGCTCAGACCTTGCGCTGTGCGTGTGCTGTGGGTCTGGTGCTCGCCAGAAGGAGCAAAGGGTTCCTGTGCAGGAGCTGTGACCCCTCTCTGTGTGACAGACGATGACAAAAAGCCATGTCGTGTCTCCATCTGAGCCTTGCTCCCAGCCTGTCTCACATCCTGAGCAGCTGGGAAAGCTGCTCTTCCCCTTTGCTTGTTTGGGATGAAAATACATTATGCACTTGAGTTATGAATAAAAGATCAAGGGCAAATCTGTGTAATGCTTTGCTCTGTGAATAAACCCGCCTTCATGGCACTCATGCTCTTTGCTGGAAGATCCTTTCTCAGGGACACTCAGCCATTTAGTGCTGCTTTATGCTTTTTCTTCAAAGTGAAAGATTTGTTAGGGCTTCCCATTTGCACGTACCGCTGGATTTGAGCAGATGAGAATTTCACTGTGTGTAATTCTCACTGCTGGATCAGGGGCTAATCTCTGATTTAGCTCGGTGTCACTTGCTCTTGCCTGGCTGGCCCTGCAGGGAGCTCAGGCTCTGGAGCTGGGTGACGGGAAGGATCCTCCCTGCTGGAGAGGAGCCTGGGTTGGAGGGCTGAACTTTCAGGAGTCTGGGATGGGTCCTCCCAGGCTCTGTTCTCTGTGTGGCTTGAGGCTGGACTGGCAGTCCTGGCTGGGAGCACCAGTGCAGGACACCGTTTCTGCCTCTCGGGGAAGCCACTGCCCTCATGACAGGCCCAGTGCAGACACTTATTCCTCTGCCACAGCGCCATTCTCAATAACTGCCTTCTTCTCGCTGCCTTGATGGAGTTCTGCCCTGGGAAATGCTGCTGGGCTCAGGACTCAGGACTCAGACACAGCCTGCTGAGAAGCACAGAATGTTACAGGGAACAGGGCTGAAGGACGGTTCATCCATCCTTAGGTGGCACCTTGAAGTCGTTCCTGAATCAAAGTGCCAGTCTGGAACTGGAAGTGCTGTTCTTCTTTCTTCCTTTTTTATTTTAACTATTGTGTGTAAAGATCACACAGAGTGATGAAAGTTCTCATGTGGCTTTTTAGGTGGAATCTTCTGTCCAAAATCCAGCTTGGATATATTTTTTCCCTCAGAATTACTACTTCAGTGTCTTCTCCTTTCAATTGCTCCTTCTCCAGTCACCTCAAAGCTCTTGTGTTGTTGCTGATAAACAGCTTCCATGTTTCTCACTACGTGTGGGCGACTTGATTGGAATTTCCAGCCTGTGTGTTTCCTCTGGAGATGGGAGGTGATACACACAAACACACACACTCTGCTACTCCAGCCCAGGTAACGCTGCCCTTCCTTTCTAGCACTCATTGCTGCTGCTTTTCAGACACCTATTTCTAACACCCCCCACATTCCATAAAGTCAGTTGTTCCATGATTTCCTGAAATGCCAATTTAGCACTTTGTCATAAGGAATGACCTCAAACCTGTGAATGATGTCACTGCATTAATGGATTGGCTTCCAGCACAGCTATGTTGGGACTTTTGGAGCATACACTTTAAGCTCAGGCTAAATTTTCCCTTGCCTGTGCTGAGAGTTATGAAGGCATGTGTCAGAAGTGAGATGTGCTTCATCCTCCCTTTGATGGATACTGCTTTCCTCTCCCATCAGAACTGTAGTTGCTCCTCGGTGTGGTCCTGACACATATTTTACATTTAGGTCATCATGTAGTTAGCCCAGATTTTAAAGTTTCACTCTCTCAGGCTGCATTTTGATGCATTTGGTCCATGGCTTGTATTTAGCTGGGGAGCATTACGTGATGCTTTTACTCCTGAAGTCATCTCATCAGAGGAAATTGTGTTACAGTGAAATGATTGGAATGTCCCCGTGTGAAGAAATAAAAGCAGGTGCTGAATTGCTTTCATTGCTATTTGAAAAGTGCAGTTGCATTTCTAAAGCTGTTGTGATTAAAATTCTGTGGTTTTTGTTCTTTTCAAAGAGCAATTCTGATGATAATGTTTCAAAAAGACTTCGAGCTTCGAGCTGTCTGTACTGGCTAATCACAGGGAATCCGTGGCTGATGCTCATTAGAGCTTGCCAGGAGTCCCAGGTGTGGGTAACTCCTGTCCCCTCTCACCGAGCACCTGCACATCCCACTCGTGTGGTGCCCCACAGCGCCGGGCTCAGCTCCAGCCCAGCCTCGGGCTTTGGTGCTGTCACAGGGAATCACAAACGCTTCTTCCGTGCTGGTTTGGACACCGCCAGCTCTTACTGGGGACAGGGAATGCATCCTTCAAGCCCTGCCACTCTGGCACCCCTGCTTTTATAAAAATGGATTTTAATTAGATTAAAATTGCATATGAACTAACATGGCCAACTCAAAATTTGCAAAAGCTGATGCAATTCTCCCTGCTTTTAACAGGGACAGCACTGTCACTCCCAAAGGCATCTGTCACTCCCTCTGGCTGGCCATGCAGGTGTTAAATCCTGTCTGCACCGACTGTGCCAGGCTCTTAAAAAGGTAATGAAGACATTTAAGTGAACATGATCTCACATGGCACCTTTAAATCCTCTGTGCAGGGGTTATGGAGCACTTGACCTGTGCTGCTTCAGCTGCTCTGCTGAGGCACAAGGGCAGGACACAGGGCTTGGGCTTTTCTGAGGCACAGCCAGCACACCCTGCAGTGGCACCAGATTCTGCTGGTTTGAAAATAAGGATCCTGAAGTGAGAGACAGACTCTGTTCAGGAGTGCAGCAGTTGCTTCAGAATGAATGAATTAAGGTAAAAATCAAGGGTTTGATTAACTGTTCAGTTCTCAGATTTAATTTGAAAAGTCTGTAGGTACATAAGTAATGATTTTCTGTCTTAGCCTTGAAAATTATTCTTTTTGGCTATTTTGTTTTAAATTACAGCCATGTTTTCAGAAGAATCTCACTGAAGTATCTGCAGCCTCAGCTGGTGCTAATACAACAAGGTTGTGGATTCAATTCCCATATGGATTTACTTAAGAGCTGGACTCCATGATCCTTGACCCTTCCAACTCAGAATATTCTGTGAATCTGTGAACTTAAGTGCAGTCAGCAAAATCTACCCCTGCATGGTGACTCCATCACACAGAGACTTCAATCTAAAGCTCTGAGTCAACGTTTGAGTGAAAGGCTTTCTTTTCTCCTCTGTTACCATTCCGAGAAGAGTCTTTTTGCCCAGAAGTGGTGGGAGCCGGCACGGGGCGGTGCTGCCCCGTTCCCCGATGCCCGGCAGTGTGGGGTGCCGGGGAGCCGCTCCCGCAGCCCCTCCGCTGGTTCGGGGTGCCGGGGAGCCGCTCCCGCAGCCCCTCCTCTGGTTTGGGGTGCCGGGGAGCCGCTCCCGCAGCCCCTCCGCTGCTTTGGGGTGCCCGGGGAGCCGCTCCCGCAGCCCCTCCGCTGGTTCGGGGTACCGGCCCCTCTCTCCGCTCCCGCAGCGCCCGGCCCGGGCGGCGGGGACGGACACGAGGTGGCGGTGCCGGCCCGCCCGCGGCTCTCCCCGTTAGAGACCCACGCGTAAAGCGGCTCCTCCGCACCGCCGGAGCCGCCCCCGGTCCCTCCTCCTCCCTCCCGCGCCCCGCGGGTCCCCTCCCTGCCGGCTCCGGGGAGATGAGGAGCGGCGGCGGCGGGAGCGCGTCCCGGTGCTGCCCGGCAGCCGCGGCCCCGCGCACCGGGAGCCCCCGGGCAGCGCTGCCCGCCCGCATCGCCGGCGGGGACGCCGCGGAGCCGGGACAGGCACGTTGCGGGCGGGCAGGGGACGGGCGCTGCCGGCCGAGGGACGGAGCGGGGGGGACCGCGGCGCAGCTCGGGCGGTGAGCGGCGGGCGGCCCGGCCCGGCCCGGCCCGGCGAGGCGGTGCCCGGCGCTCCCCGCGGTGCTGCCGCTGTCCGCGGTGCTGCCCGGTGCCGTGCGCGTCCTGCTGTGCCCGCCTGTGCCCGGTGCTGGCGCTGCCCGGCGCTGCCCGGCGCTGCCCGGTGCTGCCCGGTGCTGCCCGCTGCTCCCCGGTGCTGCCCGGTGCTCCCCGGTGCTGCCCGGCGCTGCCCGGCGCTGCCCGGTGCTGCCCGGTGCCGGTGCTGCCCGGTGCTCCCCGGTGCTGCCCGGTGCTGCCCGGTGCTGCCCGGTGCCGGTGCTGCCCGGTGCTCCCCGGTGCTCCCCGGTGCTCCCCGGTGCCGGTGCTGCCCGGTGCTCCCCGGTGCCGCCGCGGGACGCGGGCGCCCATCCCGGCCCGACCCCTTTAAGATGATGCAATCGGCCCCGCGCCGCTGAGCGGGCCGGAGCGCAGCGGGCGGAGCGGAGCGCGGCCCCGGCGCTGCCGGCGGTCCCGCCGGGCCATGGGGCAGCCGCCGGAGCCCGGCAGTGCCTAGCGCGGCTGAGGCTTTCTGCAAGTCATCGGGGCCGGCGGACGCGCCCCGCTGCCCTCCCGCTGCCCCGGCCCGGCCATCCACTCGAGAATTGTTTTATTTATTTATTTCGTTGTCTGCTTTCATTATTTTCTGTATGTACTGGTTTCCTCGTCACCCGCCACGGTTAACTTCCCTGTGACTCGGTTTAACACTTGAGACCTCCGTGGATGCTGCTAAGAGCACTTCTGTTGCCTTTGCTGTCCCTTGCTTGGATCGGATTCACGCTACCCGGACCCTGTGTGCCTGTATGTGTGTTCTGAGTGTCTTGACATTTTGGTTTTCTTTACAAGAGCTATGCATTAATTGTTACCAAGGTAAGAGTCCCCGTTCTCGTTCCCTCGTGTGCATGTCTAATTTAGATGTTTCTTTAAAGATGAAGTATGCAGTTTCTTTTAAACAGTGGAGTCATATGTAGCGCTTCCATTGATGAATACTTGTGAAATAGAAGTGTAGAACTTGCCAAAATAAAAGAGACCTATTTAACAGATTTAGCTTGGCTCTACGAACTGCTCTGCTTTTCTCTGTTGCTGCAGCTGTGATGCTTAGAAGAGTAATTTGAGCCTTGTTTTGTTTTCCCTTTTCACAGACCTGTGAATGACCACAGACTTGGCTTGACCTTGATTTTGATGGCTTTGTTGAAAGAGCTGATGATGTGATTGCATGTCATGAGGTGATTGCTCTCCAGCCTCCAGCCTCCGTGTCTCAGTGTATAAACCAATTCTGCCACACTGTCACTCATGGACTATTCAGATTTTTTTTTAAAAAATCCTTTTGGCTACTTTTATTTTCTCGCTTCTCGTTTCCCCCTTGTTTCTTCTTAATGTTGGGAGCTTTATTCTACCCTCTGATGTGATTGATAATATCCTGTTTCTCCGCGCTGCTGGTTTCCAGTTTAAACTACAATGGCTCTAAGTGGCAACTGCAGGACTTACCTCCCTGCTCGGGAGCAGGGGCCGGGGCTGCACTCCTTCCCCGAGGTGGTGGAGCTCAATGTGGGCGGCCAGGTTTACTTCACTCGCCACTCCACCTTGGTTGGCACCCCCCACTCCCTGCTCTGGAAAATGTTCACCCCAAAGAGAGACACGGCCAACGACCTGGCCAAGGACTCCAAGGGAAGATTCTTCATCGACAGAGATGGTTTCCTTTTCCGCTATATTCTGGACTATCTCAGGGACAAGCAAGTGGTTCTGCCCGACCACTTCCCCGAGAGGGGAAGGCTCAAGAGGGAGGCTGAGTACTTCCAGCTCCCGGACTTGGTCAAGCTCCTGACTCCCGACGACAGCAAGCAAAGCCCCGACGATTATTGCCACAGCGACTACGAAGAGGTGTCCCAGGGCAGTGACACCAGAATATGCCCCCCCTCGTCGCTCCTGCCGCCGGACCGCAAGTGGGGATTCATCACCATCGGCTACCGCGGCTCCTGCACTATCGGCAGGGAGAGCCAAGCAGACGCCAAATTCAGGAGGGTCCCGAGGATTTTGGTTTGTGGAAGGATTTCTTTGGTCAAAGAGGTTTTTGGAGAAAGTTTGAATGAAAGCAGAGACCCGGACAGGGCTCCAGAAAGGTACACCTCCAGGTTTTATCTCAAGTTCAAGCACCTGGAGAGGGCTTTTGACATGTTGTCCGAGTGCGGATTCCACATGGTGGCCTGTAACTCCTCGGTGACGGCTTCCTTCGTCAACCAGTACACAGACGACAAGGTCTGGTCCAGCTACACCGAATATGTCTTCTACCGTAAGTAGATCGGCGCGGGGGAAGGAGCGCGGGGCTGCGGCCGCTCCCGCAGCGGGGCTGCGGTGCCGTGCCCGGGCGGGGCTGCGCTCGGAGCCGGGGCACAATGGGACAATTTCCCCGTTCCCCGGAGCTGCGGAGCGGGGCTGAGCTCGGCGGGCCGGGCCTGGCTAGGTGGCAGCACAGACTGCCGAACGCGCCGTGCCCGTGCCCGGAGGACGCGGTGCCTCCGGCGCTGTAAATCGGCACCCGAACGCCGAGCAGCTTCCCGGGACGTGCGGGACACGAACCGAGGGTGCAAACACCGCGAAATCCATTACATAGAAACCTTCCGCTGGGATTCGCGTTGCAAAGGTAATAGAGGCTTGGTAATCAGCAGGCACAGGCAGCCAAGCCATCTGTCAGCAGCCCTGACACGCTTCCACGCAGGGAGGGGAGAGCACAATTCCAGCCTCTGGCCGCATTTCAGCCGCTGTGCTGGAATGAGGGATCGCAGCGGAGGGGCAGCGGCCGGGCCGCGTTACGCAACCGCCCGTGGAAAAGGAGTGTCCACGCGGGAGGAGCTGTACCCCAAAGGCAGTGCCCACGCAGGAGGAGCCGTGCCCCAAAGGCAGTCCCACGCAGGAGGAGCCGTGCCCCAAAGGCAGTGTCCACGCAGGAGGAGCCGTGCCCCAAAGGGCAGTGTGCTCCCCAGGAGGAGCCGTACCCCAAAGGGCAGTGTGCTCCCCAGGAGGAGCCGTACCCCAAAGGGCAGTGTGCTCCCCAGGAGGAGCCGTACCCCAAAGGGCAGTGTGCTCCCCAGGAGGAGCCGTACCCCAAAGGCAGAGCCCTCCCCAGGAGGAGCCGTGCCCCAAAGGGCAGTGTGCTCCCCAGGAGGAGCCGTGCCCCAAAGGCAGTGCCCTGCCCCGGAGGAGCCGTACCCCAAAGGCAGAGCCCTCCCCAGGAGGAGCCGTGCCCCAAAGGGCAGTGTGCTCCCCAGGAGGAGCCGTGCCCCAAAGGGCAGTGTGCTCCCCAGGAGGAGCCGTACCCCAAAGGCAGTGTGCTCCCCAGGAGGAGCCGTGCCCCAAAGGCAGTGCCCTGCCCCGGAGGAGCCGTGCCCCAAAGGCAGTGTGCTCCCCAGGAGGAGCCGTGCCCCAAAGGGCAGTGCCCTGCCCCAAAGGCAGTGCCCTGCCCCTCTCCCCGCTCCCCTCGGAGCTGCAGCAGCCCGGGGCTCCCTCGCTGCAGCGCTGGCACCCGGGACACGCCGGTTTCCAGGGGTAACACGCGGCAATCCGCATCCCACGGGGCTGAACCAGGAACCATTCCACGTCTGCCATGCGAAACATCCCAGAGCTTCAGAGGCTCTTCGCCTCCATCTTCCCTTGAGGAGGATGAAGGATGGAACAATCGCCCTGCCCGTCAGTGTAGCCAGCTGCTGCTTTGGCTGGTGGCCGAGGGACAGAGGGACAGAGGGACAGAGGGACAGAGGGACAGAGGGATAGAGGGATAGAGGGACAGAAGGACAGAGAGATAGAGGGACAGAGGGACAGAGGGACAGAGGGACAGAGGGACAGAAGGACAGACGGACAGAGGGACAGAGGGACAAAGAGACAGAGGGACAGAGGGACAGAGAGACAGAGGGATAGAGGGACAGAGAGACAGAGGGACAGGGACAGAGGGGACAGAGGGACAGGGACAGAGGAACAGAGGGAGAGGGACAAAGGGATAGAGGGACAGAGGGACAGAAGGACAGAAGCAGAATGCAGAGCTGCCCCCCTGGCTGTGCTGCTCACAGTGAGCAGGCTCCTGGCATGGGGAGCTGCCAGTAGTTTTTGGTGGGAGATGCATCAGGAAGGGAACACTTTGGGTGCAATTCCGTGGATTCAGTGCCATCTACTCTTGTGTAGGGCTCAACAGGCAGCCCTAATCTGCTTATGCAATGAAGCTTAAGTTAACATCCTGAAAAGCCATCTGGGTTTTTGACATCTGTAGATGTACTTAAAATTAGTTTTCTAGCTGGATTTCTTAGCAAAATAGTTCTAAGGTCATGGATCCGCTTATATTCCAACAGGAATAGATGATTTGCGTTATTAAGAAGCTTCTGCTTGAAATTACAGTGTCTTGTACAAGTTCTAGGAGGAGACAATGTAGGTAAAGGAATGGATTAGAAAAATTGTGCTGGCATTTTTATTTAAAATAAGGAAAATATATAAGTTCTTTATAGGCACAATGATATCTGCTAATTGAAGAGAGGATGAACATAGACTTTCCCTGAATTAACAAAACAGACTCCTGATTTTCATATTTCTCAAAGTTTTACCTTAAAGGATTGCTCACTGCTCCCACATCACTACAGACAGGGTAGGGACCAAGAGGAGAGGTACTGTAGAAATTTTGGAGAATGAAAGTCCATAGCAGGTGTCACAAAATCTTCTCTCATCAGTTCAATCCAACTGCAGTTCCTGGAAAGATTTCTATCCATTTCAGCAGGCTTTGGATTTGGCTCCAATTGGTTTTGGGGGGTTTTGACAGCGATACGGTTTCAGAGGAGGGTTTTTCAGAGGGTCCTTCCCCAGTAGAAGCCACAGCCATGGCTGTGGTGCCCCATGACCCTTTCTGTCCCAGCCCGTGGGGTTCAGCTTTGCCCGGTGCTGCTGCTGCTGCCACAGAGCTCTGGCTGCGGACCTTCCCTGCCCCACGCTCGGGGCTGGAGCAGCTGGTGACTGCAGCTGACAGCAGGCTCCAGCACTCACCTGCAGCAGAGCAGCTCCTCTCCAGATCTCCTGAAATAATTCCATCCTATTGTCCCACAGCCATTCCATGGGAAGCTTGGAGGAGCAATAAAATGACATCTGGCTTAGCAGCGGAACGCGACATCTCCCGTGCAGCTGCTTGGCCAGAATGATTTGTTTAGGTGCTGCCAGCTGTGTCTGTGCAGCATTGATCCATCGAGCTGCTGTCAGCAGGTTAATGGGCCTGAGCTGGGGGGGTCTGACACAGCTGGGGAGGCAGAGGCAGAGGCAGAGGCAGAGGCAGAGGCAGAGGGCCTTTGCAGGCTGCTCCCGAGCTGCTGGGAAAGGCCTGTTGGAGGAAATCTTCTGGTTGGGAATGGAGGATTAGTTCCAAAGGAGGAGGAATGCAGGGAGGAATGATGTTTCAATACACCAAATGCATTGTGCGCTCCAAATTCCACTGGGAAGGTAAATGCCTGTGGCTGGCAGGAAGATAAAGAGCATTTTTCATGTGCAAATCCATCTGAAGGGGCTGAGATGGACTGGAGGGGGTGTGGGCTGAGCAGCTCTCACAGGGTATGGGGTAAGGCGTGTGCTGCCAAAGCGCTGCCCCATCAATATTGCACAGCCCTCGTCCCCAGGGCCTGTCTGTGTGCTGGGAGAGCTGGGCACAGGACAGAGAGCCCCCGAGGGGAGCCTTCCCGAAAGGAGCCCTGCGGGGTGAGCCTGGCACTGCCAGCCCCAGGCTGAGGCTGGGGAGAGCCCGGCCCAGCGTGGGGACAGCAGGGGGACAACCTGGCACCGCCAGCTCTGAGCCTGGCCCAGCGTGGGGACAGCAGGGGCACAGCCTGGCACTGCCAGCCCCAAATGAGCCAAGGCACAGCAGGGCATGATCTGGCATGGCATGGCATGGCCTGGCCTGGCATGGCACAGCATAGCCTGGCATGGCATGGCACAGTATGGCATAGCATGGCATGGCACAGTATGGCATGGCATGGCATAGCATGGCATGGCATGGCACAGCATGGCCTGGCATGGCATGTCACAGCATGGCACAGCACAAGACTGCCTGCCAGCCCCATGTGGCACGGCTGCTGCCCCACAGCCTGGAGCCGTGTCCCCGGTCCCTCTGAGAAGGGCTGGCATTCAGCAGGGCTGTGTGAGCTGCTGGAGCCCGTCCTGGCCCCGGCTCCTCCCCAGCTGCAGGCAGGAGCAGCTCAGAGCCTGCAGGGGTGCCCAGGACACGGTGGCACAGTGCTGCTGCCGTGGTGGGACAGCGCTGCTGCCGTGGTGGGACAGCGCTGCTGTGGTGGTGGGACAGCGCTGCTGCCGTTGCTCTGAAAGCCAGCCCTGGCACCAGGGTGCTCCTGCAGCCCCTGCTGGCTCCGCTGGCTCCCAGGGGTGCTGGGGCTCCCCTTGCTCCGTGCACAGCTGGCCAGCTGTGCCTCACAGCTGCTGGCACCAGGCTGATGGGCAGAGGTGTTTGTGAGCGGGGCTCCAGAGCACCCCGGCACAAACAGACAATCCCCTCGGCTGGGGACGTGAAGGAGGAAGAAGGAATGCCATTCCCTGGGATAATCCTGGTCCTGCTTTACAAGGGGATCCATTTGGGATTGCTGCAGCCAGCTGGGGCCTGTCACTGTGCGTGTGTGGCTGAGCTAAAGGATCCCATACTGATGTGCCTACCACTGACTCATAAATTCATTGTGAGGCAGAAATTTGACTCACAAAACGGAGCAGCCTTTGCAAAGTGACACCCACAGCTGCGCTGTCAAACGGGCAAGATGTGGGAAAGGAACATCACCCAGTTCTCTTTAAACCAGTACTGTCACATGATCCAGGAGCTGCTTCTGTCTGATTTTAAATCATTGAAGATCAAAATGACCCCTAAGTGAGCAAAATGAAGTCTAATCCAATGAATAATGCAAGCTGCTTCCCCGCTGGCAGGAGATGTTTCTGTTTCCAGGTAATTATTGTCATCACTGGTGCCTCTGGCTGCTCTTGCCAAAGCAAACCCTCTCAGCAGGATGATCATCTGCAGGTGCTGGGGCTGCAGCCAGCCAGCTCTGTCAGGCTGTTCATGGCTGAAGGACCTTGCTCCAAGCTTTTCTGCTCTCCCAGTTTGTCAGGGCAGACTGAAAAACCCGCAGAGTTGTTGATTCGAGTTATGCCACAGATGAGGAAGGCTGTTATTTATTGGAAACCAGTTGTGTCAAATCTGATTGTCAGATTAGGCCAAGAATCTGCTGCTCGGTGAGCAAGCACAGCAAACCTTGATGAAAGATTTGGATTGGATTTGA